CACCAGGGCCCACTCACCAACCACAGTAGAAGAGGCGGGCGCGGAGAGAGAGGGAACGACAGGGTCGAGCGCAAACTCCTGCGCGTGCGCAAGCCCGCTTGCTAGCCCGCGCGCGTGCGCGCTGATGCGAGCGCGGCCGGGCGCGCGGCCGCGGCGGGCCGGCGGTCTTCCCTGTCTTGGCGTGCGCGCGCCCGCACCTAGTGCCTTCCGGCGCTGTGGCCGTAAAGCGGCACTGTCGTGTCGCGAAAGGCCGCAACACGCAGAGCGCTGGTTGACGGCTCGAGTCCATTTTGTTCGCCGCTTCTCTGCTCGCGAGTCCCTTCTCCCCGTGGCTGCTGTGAGGCGAGAAGTTTCCAAAGGCGGAAAGTTTGACGGAGTAGTCCGGAGCTCCGTGGCTAAGCGCAGCGCTCTCCACCCGCGCCTCCCCGGAAGTCGTCGGTCCCGCGGCCCCGAAGCAGCAGGAAGATGCGGCCCCTGGACGTGGTGGAGCCGGCGGAGCCCGAGGAGGTGGAAGTGCTGGAGCCCGAGGAGGACTTCGAGCAGTTCCTGCTGCCCGTCATCCACGAGATGCGCGAAGACATCGCGGCGCTGACCCGCGAGCGCGGCCGCGCCTCCCTGCGCACCCGGGGCAAGCTGTGGGAGATGGACCATATGCTGCTGCAGATCCAGACGCAGGTGGAGGCGTCGGAGGAGAGCGCGCTCAACCACCTGCCGAACGCCGACGGCGGCGCGGCCGCGCGGGGCGAGCGGGCCGACGAGAAGGCCCGGGAGGTGGCGAAGATGGCCGAGATGCTGGTGGCGCTGGTGCGGCGGATAGAGAGGAGCGAGTCGTCGTGAGCGGCGCGGCGCGGTGAGTCCGGGGGCGGCGGGCTGCGCGCCCGGCCTCCGCTGGGGCGCGCCCTCGCGTTCCGCCTTGGCGCGGACGGAGCGGGCAGGGACGCGGGGGTTCGTGTGGCCGAGAGCGAGGCCGCCGTCAGCGTGGGCGGCGGCTGAGCGCCCCGCGGGGTCGGAGTGAGACGGCCGCGGGCGCGTTCTGGGTCCCTTCAGCCCTCGATGAACGCTTCTCCCGCTTGTGCCGCAGGTCTCCAGCCGCCGGATCCGGCCGACTGGTGGCGGCGGGCCGACGCCCGGAGAAGCTGCGCCGAGAGCCGGCTGGCTCCGCCCCTCCCCTGTCCTCATTACACTACGTTTCTGCTACGGGCTGTGGTTGACGACCTCAATATGAGCTTGGATTGTCCGGGGTTGGCTTGGGGGCCGGCGTGGCGAGCGCCCGGAGCTCCCACGTGTGCGCCGGGGCGCTGGCGGGCGTTTGCCACGTTGGAGGGGCTCGGCTGTTTCCTGCGCGGCCCGGCAGCTCCTCGGAGCGGGGGTCTCGGTGACACGGGGGACTCCGAGCTGGATGCGGTGGGCCGGCTCCGCGCGGCTGCGGACCCAGGGCCCAGAACTGCACGAAGCTGAGCCGGCGGGCCCGGAGGGGGGCGCCGTCGGTGTTCCGGGACGTGTTTCAGTGGGAGACCAAAGGACGAGAGCTGTGTTGGGTTCGAAATGCAGATTTTCGGGGTCCTTTGATGCCACCTGTCCGGGGGTTTGTGTGGACAGCCTAATTCAGCTTTCTTCGACAGAGAAACGACAATAGCAGATGACACCTCGCTGTTCGGTCCAAGGGGACTCTGGGCCTAAAGAGAGACACGTTTGCATCCCTTGAGGGGCAGGAGAAGGAAAGCCTGGCGCTGTCTGCATCGGACCCTGAACTGAACAGGGAAGAGCATCTTCAAGGTTCATACGTCGTCCAGCTGTGAGTTCATCTGAGTCACAGACCTGACAAGTATTTGAGGTCAAAACCCTGCCATGTTTAAAAACAAAAAAATTTACCGTGTTAATAAAAGTATTCATTTGCTTGAAAAGACAGAAGAGCTAAGGAGTGATTCTTTGAGAAGTCTGATTTATTTAGGATGAGCCCTTCTTCATCCTTAACCGTCGCCATCGTCACACAGCCTATGAGCTGCCCTTGGTTTGTGAGGCCCTCTGTAAGCCTCAGTTACAGTGGAGATTTGATCTCTGCTGGGATGGGAGCTGGTCAGGACAAATAGTTCTCGGTGTAGGAAGGAAATCACACATCATCCTGTGGCTGACTCCTCTCTTCAGGGAGCCAAAGTACCTTCACTTTTCAACAAACTCATCAGAGCGTAGCCTACTCTAATCCTTGCACTAGGAATACAACAGTAAGACATGGTCTTACTGGGGTGGTGGTAGTAGGTCCCATTGACTCGGTACCAACTCATAGCAAGCCTGTGTCCAATAGAACAAAACACTGCCAGGGCCTGCACCATCATTGCAGCCACCGGGTCACTCCATCTTGTTGAGGGTCTTCCCCATTTTTGCTGACCCTCTACCAAACATGATATCCTTAGTGTGGGGTACAGGAGGACATATAGTAGATATGGTGATGCACCTTCAGGAGTGAAGGATTTAGTTGCCCAACTGTGGAGGTGTTGCTGACAGCCAGCCCTCTCCAGAAAGTGCCTCTGCTAAAGAGAACTGCCTTGGCCAAGGTCAAGCCCTTTCTACCAGGTGGTCTCCCAGGTGGGCTGGGGGTTTGAGGGCCCTACCCCCTTGTGCTGTAACTCCACACAGCTTTGAAGGGCATCCAGTGGGTTCCCCTGAGACTCAGGACGTCATCACGCCCCATCATCTCCCTTGCCCAGTCCCACAGCACTTTTCCTTCCATGGGTTTGAATCCCTAAATTCAGCACACTGGTCTTCAGCATCTGCATCCTGAGGAACCCAGCTTACCAGCTGGACAAGTGCAAGACAATCAGGAAACGTGTCATGTACCCTGATGAGTACTGACATAAGTCTCAGGAGAGCACTGAGGGTGGGTCTAGGAAAGCATTTCAGAGCAAGTTGAACTTGGCCTTGAAAGAGGAGTACAGCTTCCAAGGCCAAGAGGAGAATGAGGGAGGTCCCGGTCACCCTGAGAAAATGCCAGGGGTTCAGCATCTGGTGTGTCCCAATGGCGGGGAGAAGTGGATAGGATGGAATTATGAACGAGGAAACAACAAAACGCTGTATTAGGTCCATTTAAGGAATTCGCATTGGTGCTGAAGGCTTGATTTCAGTTTCATGTTTTCCACTAACGCCTTTTCCTGCACCACAATCCATTCCAGGAAACCATATCGCCTTTGTTAATTAATTTTTAAGTTAATACTTAGAGTTGGCACAGAATTGAAAAAGTATAAAACAGATAGGATTGAGACCTTCCCACCTTCCAGTTCCCTTCTTAGGAGACAATCTATCAGCTTGTGTATTCTTTCAAATATTGTACATGTTTCCACATGTACACACATGAATGCCCCCACTTCTTCTTTTTTTTTTTTTTTAGTATAAGTGGTTACACACTATATAGTGTTAAGCCATTTGTTTTATTTGTTTACAATTTAAAAATTGAGCTCAGAAACTTTGCTATCTCAGCATCTACAATTGCACATGACTGTGCAGCGTTCACTGGACCAGATATGGAAGCAGCCACAAGTGGTTCTTGCACAGGAAAGTGGGAAATGATTGTCCTCAATTCTTTAGTTCCTCTTCCTCAGTTCCCAATTTCTTCAATTCCTGAGGTGCCTCCCAGCTTGCTTGTGATTGGAGGAGCATTGACTCCTGCATCTTGTAAGCAAAGAGCCTGTGGTGAGGACCATTCTGAGGGGCAGTCTTAGTTGTACAGCCCCCAGAGTCTGGCTGGAGGCCAGGACTGTGGGTTGTAAGTCCATGTGTCTGCTCTGAAGAAGTCAGCCCATGGATGTCTGTGAAGAAAGGCCACTAGGGGGGTGGGTTCCTGACACTGCAGAGGCTAGCACAAGCAGGGACCTACCTTTGCTTAGGATTATTTATGGTTTGATGAGTGTCCTTTAGTGTCATGGAAGTCAGGGAAGGCTTTCAGGAGCGAGGCAACACCCTTAATCCCCATCAGAGCCCTTACCCAATGTAAGGAGAGTTTCCCTGGAGTGTGACTTATAACACCTTTTATTTTACAAAAAATAAAGGAGAGAGAAGCACACATAGAGGAAGGAATCTACTACCATTGAGAAAAAGAGGCACGAGGAGAGCATGTCCTTTGGACCAATGGTCCCCATGCTGGGAACCTGCTAGAACCAGAAGACACAGAGACAGAAACCCTTCCCTTAGAGGCAGCACCCTGAATTTGGACTTTAGCCTCCTAGAAGTGAATGTGGAATGAGGGCTATCATTGCTGATGTCAGAGGGATCTTGGCTGAAAGCAGAGAAACCAGGAAAAAAAATGTTTTCCTGTGTTTCATTGACTGTGCAAAGGCATTAGACTGTGGATCATAACAGATTATGGATACTGTTGTGAAGAACAGGAATTGCAGAACACTTAATTGTTCTCATGAGGAACCTGTACATAGACCAAGAGCCAGACATTCAAAGAGTAAGAACAAGGGGATACTGTTGTTTAATACCATCGAGTTGTCTCTGACTCAGCGATCCTATGCAAAGCAGAGTGAGATACCGCCCAGTCCTGAGCGAGCTCCATGATTCTTGTTACACTTGAGCTTATCACCACTGCCACCATGTCAATCCATCTCATTGAGGGCCTTCCCCACTTTGGTCAACCCTCCACCTTAGTAAGTATGACATTCTTCTCCATGGAATGGTCCCTTCTGACAACATGACAAAAGTAGGTGAGACGAAGTCTGGCCATTCTTGCCTCAAAGAAGCATTATGGCTGCACTTCCTCCAGGACAGATCTATTAGTTCTTTTAGCAGTCCATGGTACTTCCAGCATTCTTCTCCAACACCACAGCTCAAAAGCATCAATTCTTCTTCAGTCCTCCTTATTCAGTGTCCAGCTCTCACATGCATATGAGGTGATTGAAAATACCACGGCTTGTGTCAGGCACACCTCAGTACTCAAGGAGACATCTTTGCTCTTCAGCACTTGAAAGAGGTCCTTTGCAGCTGATTTGCCCAGTGCTATACATCATCTGATGTCCTGACTGCTGCTTCCATTGGCGTCGATTGTAGAACCAAGCAATGTGAAGTCTTTGACAACCTCAATCTTTTCTCCATTTTTTGTAATGCTGCTTGTCAGTCCAGTTGTGAGCATTTTTGTTTTCTTTATATTAACATGTAATCTGTACTGCAGACTGTAGTCTTCAGTCTTCATCAGTAAATGCCTCAAGTCATCCTCACTTTGAGCAAGCAAAGTTGTGTCATCAGTGTATTGCAAGTTGTAAATGATTTTTCCTCCAATCCTGATGCCATGTTCTCCATATAATCAGCTTCTCGGGTTATTTGCCCAGCATACAGATTGAATAAGTGTGGAGAAAGGATACAACCCTGATGCACTCCCTTCTTGATTTTAAACCATGCACTGTTCCCTTTTTCTGTTCGAACAACAGCATCCTGGTCTATGTACAGGTTCCTCATGAGTACAGTTAAGTGTTTGGAATTCCCATTCTTCTCAGTGTTATCCACAATTTGTTATGATCTGCACAATCAAATGCTTTTGCATAGTCAATAAAACACAAGTAAACATCTTTCTGGTATTCTTTGCTTTTAGCCAAAATCCATCTGACATCAGCAATGATATCCCTCGTTCCATGTCCTCTTCTGAATCCAGCTTGCATTTCTGGAAGTTCTCTGTCAATCTACTGCTGCAACCATTTTTGAATTATCTTCAGTAAGATTTTACTTGCATGCGATATTAATGATATTGTCTGATAATTTCCACATTCTATGGGATCACCTTTCTTTGGAATGGGTACAAATATGAATCTCTTCCAGTCAGTTGGCCAGGTAGCTGTCTTCCAAATCTCTTG